AAACGACAAACGAATCTCTTCATCATGTACTTTCATTCGAAATGAAGTTCCCCCTAAATAAAGAACTTTGAAGACCGATCACAACAGATTCCTTCTGGCCAGCTGTACATTGGCTTCATTGAAACGTTTTTGTTAACGCAGTTTCCGATGTGATCTCCTCCGATTCCAGTGAAAACATGTTGAGCTCTCTTCCGTCATTCTACAGACAGCATCTGCTCAGGGTATCATAAATACAAATATATTCAAGATAACAAGTCAACAAAATTCACCGTTTTACTCATAAATGCTGCAAATATACCCCTATTTATATGCTTTTTAATGAGGAATAGAGACCATTCTGATATTCTGTAAAACTAATAAAACGAATTGAGAATAAATATCCATTAGGTCTAATTGAAAATAACATTGGATTAATAAGAAAGTGTCTTTTAAATCTAGCATACGTGGGAAGATTGTCTACTCATCAGATTAAGTCGCAATAAAATAATGTTCATGAGGTCGCTTTTGTACTAGAGAGACTTGCCGGCAAAGGGTGGTTGAGGACAAAAGCGCCTGTTGAGGCTGTTGAGTTTCAAAAGCAGAGCTAACAGAAGCTGGCAGAAGCTGGACATGAGTTTGAATAATCTCAAACTTATCGCTTTGCGGATTTTGGTATTCAACCGACAAAGCGCAAAATTATATAGGTTACTGAACTCAACCGATTAGGCAGCATATTAAATGTCCTTACGGAAAATGTTAGTTGCGATGGGTCATATTTATCTTCAAAAGCATACATGGTTACATGATGGATTACTAACCATAAGTTGATGGTTCGAATTCAATTTCTCATGTCTATAACGGCTTGCGGAACTTGTAAAATCATACGAAAATGGTACAGCTCGTGAATAGAGATAAATGATTCACATGAGGAGCCCCACTAAAGTATCCAGACCTCGTGAATAAAGATTCGGGCCTAACATGTGCATGATTAATACCGAACGAATTTCTTTCAACCGGTTTGAAAAATAAAGAAGTCTTGAGCGAATAATTTATGTGATTTAATAGTCAGCAGCCGAATCACGAAAGCTTGTTAAATATTTGTCCTAATGAGAACCCGTGTTGATGAAGACCCCTATTGTCAGGAGATCTGATATAATTTTAGATAAATCTGTCAGCCAGCCATCTTTAAACTTCCCCTTATTAGGCCTACTTTATGTTGCCATAGGAGATTGAAGAAGGTTGCCTATATGGACTGCTTCTAACTCCTTAATCATCCAACACGCCGTATACAATCAATTTGATTAAGTTTATTTATCCTAGGACTATAAAATCTGATTTAGTCACGGCATATGAGACCACAATCAGCCTAATGAAGTTTTCCCCATTGCATTGAGTTAGAGGTAAATCAGCCTACTAAATAGGGATATAGAATAACAATGCTTAATGGGGTAAAATAAATTAATGAAACTATTCAGAAACCAAGAGGCTTGATTCAAAGAAGACTTTTAGATAGAATTAAAATTGTATATATGCATATTCTAGTTGATTTATATATGCAAGTCTACCCATTTGATAAAACGTAGTCAAAAAAGGCAGATATTGGAAGTTGTATATAGTTATGCCGCTTTCCTTAAAAAAATGAAAATTAAGACAACTTATTGCATAGTATCCGCCTTAAGTGAGCTGAGAAAAGAGCAAGAGAGAATTCTCAAATAATTATCGTTGAATTTCATGTTAGCCACTTATTTTATACATCATTCGATTGTATTGGCTTATTTTAAATGATGCAGGCTTTTTTAATGATCTTGTCAGACATTTTGATATATTCTTTCCTTTCTGGTTAGAACATATCTTTTTTTCCACATACCTCCTCTTTGCTTTTTACCCTATTACCTGTGATTTGTGGGGAACATAATTTTAGTCTTAAATGTCCCCTAATATCCTATTTTACAAGCACATCTGTATCCTGTTCAATTTGCTTCCTTGACCTTTTAAAGGGTCCGCTTGCAGACCTACGACCTCCATTTCTACAAAACCGATACTAGATACAAACTCACTCTCGGACAATCGGCTCAATCTCCAGTCGGGCTGAGGTCGGTAGATAAGACCAATGCCGGTAGTGCCGAGAAATGACAGGCTTTTAGACCGAAGAGCGGGCACATGCAGTGAGCATAAACACATGCAAGAAAGCCTTGTTCCCTCTGTCAGCTGCACACCGGCGGCACAACTGAACAGCACCACCTTCACGGCCGTTCCCGACTGGTAACAAGCAATTGCCTACAGGTGCTTGTGAGAAAACTTCAATGAAAGGCGCATGCTGAGTGTAAAACATTCTTCTGAAAAGACGTATCGGTGCGACGAACAAACTTGCAGTCAATGACTTTTAGCCATTTGTTCTTCTGCAAATTTTGCTGTCGTTAGGGCTTCCTACCACGTGGGCGATATCCCTTCCATAGTTAGCTCATAATATTCATACCCACCTGAGTAGAGCTCTTGTGCAGACAGCTTCTCAGTTCCGGCATCTTCATTCTCAACAGGACAACCCTGAACTCCACGTTTAAGTCCTCCTTCTTGTATGGGCTCTGTTTACCTTCAACATCAAAGCCAATTATGACAAATGAGTAGGCCCTTCTGAAGTGCCCTCCTGCACACTCTCCCCATTTGTATTGTTCATATGGAATAAACGTGGCTGGCCATCGGAGTAGGCCACAGCTGCTTGAGCTAGTACATGCAACCGTGGTCTGAGATTTTGCTGTCCTATTTCTTAAAGTTTGTTTGAGGATGTGTGACCCGAGGAATTGCTCTGGAAAATTTGCTAGATCATAGATGTAAGTTACTTACTTCTAGCATTAAATGAACTTGGACAACAACAAAATCTTGGAGAAACAAACTGAAGGGGAATTCAGGTCGGAAGAAAATGTGTCGAGGAAAAATGGTGAATTTCAGTATAATGCACTGTTGCCCGATTGTCAGAAATGGGACAACACAGTCTGTCTATCGCCCTCTCCCATGTCCCGACATTTGTGGCAAAAGGATGGGCCAGAACCTTAAAGATTTTCATATCCTAGTCCTCATCGCAGGAACAAACTCAATGGACTAGGCCGGGCTTTGTTCAAACATGGTCTTATACAAAGTGCCTCCAGTCCCACTTTGCAACCACTACAATAACCAGAAATTGACCCTTTTTCGGGTGAATCCTCATGTCCCACTTCTCATTTGGGCTGATCGCCAGTGCTTTGTGGTAATTTAGGCAAGATGTATAAAAACAAGTATTAACAGGAGGCATGAAGACCATGATGAAGTGCAGACCATGTTTGACGTTGTTTCCGCAACTTGGTCCTATTGGCAGAAAGACTTAAAGAAACGCAATTTTCCCGGAGTCCATAGTATGCATGATACAATCCAGATTTGGACCGTGAATTTGGTACATTCTCAGACCTTTCAGCGGCATCGTCAGCGAGCCTTGCCAACCTTAGCACCACACCACTAATCGTCAAAGAGACAAGCAAAATCGGCACTCTGACCAAATGTCTGCTAAACAGTTGCGGTATCTCTCGTTCTGTTCTATCCTATATCCTCGTAACACACTTCTACTATCACAATGTCTTACTTTTTTATCTAAACCTATGAGATGTATTCATCATATTTCGTTTAAGGTGATGAAGGACTGGTAGTAGAATATTATTTACTGACTTACTGGTAGTCTCGAAACTCTACTTACATACGAAAAATAAGTAAAGTAGTCGATTGTTATAGCAAATATACGTTTGCTTCATCGACAGCCCCACCAAAGAATGTGATATGGCAAAAGGCCTGGCCTTCCTTGAAATTCACATCTACTCTGTGACTCAAGGGCACTAGTACAAAGTGCCCGAGTGGTTAACGTGTCAAGCTCCCATTCTGCACTGTCACGGATCGACTCCCGCTGGGGGTGTTGACAAGACCGATGCGAGTTCGAAACTGCAGTTCACCTCTGTCTGGATAAGAATAACTTTTGGGAAAGCAA